GCAAGAACAGGCTCAATGATTAACTACATGGACTATTGTGGGTGTGGTGTATATTTTGTAACCATTCTTTAGTATATCACTTGTGTGATGTAAGAATGTTAACACTGTTATATTCTTTTTTAGTATAATATGTGTGTGTGTAGAAGTGAATCATTTATTGCTTGCAAACCAATGATGGTAAGATGATGTCATGGGGTAGGACTGGATAAGTCTGACTTCTTCCTACTCCATTCAAGCATGTACTAGGTATAAGCAAATTGATATTGGATTAGCATTTGTTGGATATGTGTAAAATTATGTGTGTTGACATATCAACTGTCTTTACATGTTTGAAAGAATAAATCAAATCAAATCAAATCAAATGACTCAAATGTGTGAAGCTGCAGCATCAAATCCCTGTTTGGACTAGCATGCTCCACTAAAGCCCATTTACTGATTGATTGGATAGTGTGCTAGACCTGAAGACGCACGGGGCTGAGACCCCCTCCCCCCTTACTTCCTGAGTTACTCCTGAGGAAGAACGGGAGCAAGTCAGAGAGCAGACGGCCGGCAGCCGGGACGCACGGAGCGACCTGCAGAGGAGGGCATCACACACAGAAAACAAGCAGCAGTGGAGCGAATAACTTGTGTGTTCTTAAAAGGCATGGAGCAAGATTTCTCATCTTGCAAGCTACTGGTGACAGCTCTTCTTATCTTGGTACAGTAATTTTATATGATTTCCAGCCAGTGATACTTTTGTCTTTTATTTATCTACAGTATTATTTCTCTTAAAACGTGTATTCTAATAGACGTCCTGTGTTTATACATGCACAATCCATGTTTTATGTGATTCTCAGTACAGCTTTAGTAAGACAGCTGGTGATCTGATTCTTCTTCTGTGCCTCCTCTGAGTTTCTCAAGTCACAAACGTATACTTGCATGTTAGGACTCCCTGTTACATTACAGTACAGTGCCGTGCAGGGAAGACGACAAGGGATTTACCAGATGTGCAAATATCGGATGTCTTTCCGACTGAAAAGGCCATCGTGTGTATATTGACACAGTCTGCAAAAGAAGGCACCGGCATCAGGTTTCTTTTCCCTGTCACCACATTTTCCATCTTTAAGGAAAATGTCCTTAGTCTCAGCTGCTGACAGGTGACTTAAATAGAATCTGTCCATCAGAGTATCATATAATGTGGAGATCAGTGCTCCTTTATCATATACTCATTTCCTCTTTTCTGCTTGATGTGAAAACAAGATAAGTGACAGCTGGTGGGCTTTTGTGGTCATATGATTGCTGTTTTTCTCATAGTAAAAGAGCCAGAGGGTAAATACACCTCTAAAAATACATGCTTTATTGTGCAAGCGGAGCTTTTAAGGAGCCTGTGGCGGCACTGGGAGTCATCTCAGGGTTCCTGCTTCCTCAGTGAAACCATCCAAATTAAACCTTGAAGAGGTCAGAGCAGTAGAGGCTGTAGTGATGGAAGCCTCCAAGTGGATATCTGAGACCTTAGATTATTGGATCCAAATCCCAGCAGGATGCTTCTGTGACTCGTGGAGCCTCGTGCTCCTCCATCTCCACTGAGAACAATAGCAGCACAGTCGGCCAGCCTTGCCTCCATCCCTTCTCGTTCTCTACCAGCCTTGTTGGCTCTGCAACACACAGCTCCCAGCTCTAATTAAGTGCAAAATCACTGACTGCTTTTCAAGGAGAAATAATGTGGTGCACTAACCGGCTGCCCAGAGCACAGCCTGTGTTTATTTACCGTGGATCCAGACATTGAAATAGTTGGCCCATGCAGAAAGTAGCGCCATGGCCGATATATCTGGCTGTACGCTCCATTGGCTGTGTGTTTAGGTCTTGCTGTTCCCCTCTGCTGTTCCTCAGGTGTCATCAGTGCTGACAGCCATTTATATCAGCTCCCATGCACTTTTAATAATGTGAACCCACCATCCCCCTGCGCAGGCCTGCAGCGTGGTTGTTTTTGCTACCACGACCCAAAGAAAATAATCCTATTATTACTTTGTTTCCTCTGCAAGATCCATTCATCTTTGTGGATGAAGCACAGTGCCATGCTACTGGAAAAGGGGCCACAGAGGTCGGCTTGGCCTACCCAGACTTTTCCCTTGAAAATCTCGAGGCTGTGTATCTAAAAGAGAAGACTGGACTTCACTAAACACTGTTGTCAGCTCGGTGGGCATAAACCATTTTAAGAGCAGGTGCTACAGATAAAGTTCTCAGCGTGTAAAAGCTAAGTGGGTTTGTTGTGCCTCACATTTTGTTACAAGTTGCTGTCAGAAACAGAACAAAGCTGGATGTCTGTAATTGTTAAATATGCTTTGCTGGTTCGTCAGCATGAATTGACTCCCTGAGTTGAGTTTTTTATTACATCTGATCCAGTTCTGGGCTTTAAACCTCCAGTTAATGCCACATGTTGTTATTGAATTTGTTTGCACCTTTACTCTTTTAAACTGTATCCCCGCTGCGATAGGAGGTGGATAATTTGTCCCAGTGTTAGTTCCAAGCTTCATTTTCCAAGTTTTCAGCCATTCGGCAACTATAGTGCCAGTTTTTTTTTGTTTTTTTTTTGTCTCTGTCTCACTGGCAGCCCTTCAGTGAGATACTTCCTTGTCCTTGTTCTAGATGGCAAAAGCAATTGAATTACCTTTTCATTTCATCTGGGCCTGGTATTCGGACAGCATAGCTCTCTAACTTCATTCAATCGATTCTGAAAGGGGCTTTGAGAAGTAAAGCCAAGAGAAACAAACATAAATCATATGCAGCCATGGATGATCCACATAACATGACGGTGCCAGTCTGACAAATAAACACCTTTCTCAGAGCAAAGTGAGTCAGTTCAGTCAAATCGAATCTGAAAGGCCTTGAGAGGTAAAGAGGAGTTAGCAGTGGAGAGGATCTTCATATGTGTCTGTCACTCTATGTACGTCTGAGATGCACATTGTCCGTGCACTTACAAAATTCATCTTCTCATAGTATTGATTTTGGACCCCGCAGTAATATCCCTGCTCCCACTGCCAAATACAGCACAGTGCAATTAACAGAGAGAGGCACACAAGTGAGGCCCCGAGCTCCGAGAGAACACTCGTATTTCATAATCCGAAGGATGACTCAGATGTTGGAAATGTGCAAAAGTGGCAAAAGTCGACAGCATTTGATTACTTCCCCTTCCCACCTTTCTCATCCTGTCACATGCACTCTGGGTTTGTTTTCAGCAGCTCCTCGAGTTAAGTCCAGATGCTTTAGCAGCAGTGCAGCTTTTTTAAAGGGCTGAATGAGAGCTACGCTGTCTGGCTCACATGATGTCACAAAGTGGAAATAAGAAGTTCATTAATGTTTGCACACATACAATGCACAGCGCACTGAACTCAGCAGGTCTTCCTCAAAGTTAAAGAGCTGATAATAAAGGGGGGAGGCAGGAAGCTGCTCAAGGCCATCTACGATAGGCCCCATGAACTTCTGCTTCTTTTCCTCCATAAATCATGTCTCTTCCTCTGGTGTGTAGAGCTCGAGGATGGCCCGATCAGAAGAGGACAGGGACACACTGTGGGATGCTTGGGGCTCATGGAGTGAATGCTCCCGTACCTGTGGAGGAGGAGCCTCATACTCCCTTCGACGATGCCTCAGCTCCAAGTAAGGCAGTTACACCGTATGGCCTGTGTATAACTGTTAGCCAGAAGATTAAACTGGACACACTCCACTGCTCCTCCTCTAAATACTGAATCAGATATCTGCCTTTCTTAAGAGAGATTAGGTTTTTCAAGGTGTGGCAACTTTTTGTGTCTTATTTAACAAACCAGCTGTTGTTGTTTACAATAATCTTACAATTTATAATTGCATTTTTATTAATCACTTTTATTGTACACAAGGAGCTTCACAGACAAATTTGCAAGGTCTAGATTTGTGCTTGTGTTTGATCCAGTTTTAGAGAAACTTTCCATGTATGTAATGTGGACTCATATTTTGCAAGTTGATATGAAAAATAAATAAAAAGATAGCTTTACTGCCAGCGGCTCTAGGAGTGCAGGGTGTGTTGAGCGGTTGGACCACCACTTTGGGCTGGACTGAAATATCTCAATAAGGTATTGGATGGATATGCTAATTAGAAAATGCTAACACACTGGATAAACGTGGCAAGCAGTATCAGAGTGTTGCTCTTGTCTTTGTCAGCATGCTCAAATTTCTATTAATCCTCCAAAACTGAGTAATATAAACAGTATTTCTAATATAAGAACTGGAGATATAAAGACCAGTCACATGTTTGGGTACAGGACTGCTGTGTACTGAATCTCAGAGGGGCTATACAGTCATTTGAACGTGTATGATTTGAAGTTAGAACCTCATTGACCTTCAGATAAATAGAAACATCCCATGGGCAGTTTGTCAGTTTATGTTCAAACACTATCTAATGCATCAAAGTCCTGACTGAGGTTGGGTTGTTTCCATTAAAGTGCCATATTACAGCTTTAGGATTCATGAGAGGGAAAGTGGAAGAGGAATCTTTTTCTATTGTTTATAACTGACCTGCCAAATAAATCCAGACAGTGTCCCTAACAGTGTGAGTAAATCTCATCAATCACTCTGTTCCCATGCAGTGCAGGTGCTCAACAAACATACGACTGTTTTGTGACTGTTAAACAGCCCAGAGGGGTCAGCTGAGATCACTTGCCCATCAGCCTCCTAAATCTGTCTAGATGGTCACATTAGTATAAATCCTAGATTCATCAGTGACAGTAATGGTCTGCTTTTCAGTAATGACCCACAAATGTTTTGTCACAAATCAGAGCATGACAGTCAACGTCCTTTGCCAAAGCACACGTCACTTTTTTAAACTGTTTTCTGCGAGCGCTGAGCCGGCGCTGGTTGGATTCCCTGGTTGTTCATCCTCTCAGCATAACTCGCAGGACAAACTGGAACTCACATGATATCAGCAGCAGCCCAGAATGTTTTGGTCAGGCTGTAAAAGCACTTGACATGTTAAGAGGTGTTTGGGGTCTGAGCTCCATGTGTGTGTAGACATAGGTGGCTGTGTTCATGAACTTGTGAGTCCTTTGGCGGCAGCAGTAATGTATGGGGCTCCTGAGCGAATGCTAGGAGCCTCCGTCCTACCCAATCCCACCTCAACCCGCGGCTACGTGGGAATGAGCGAGCAGTGGCCTGGACGTCGGTGGCAGATCAAACAGCGTCATTAAAAAGCACAGCACAAGGCCTCGTGTGTGTGTGTGTGTGTGTGTGTGTGTGTCTGTGTGGCTCTATAAACAGAGAGGCTGGAAACGAGCTTCCAACACCCTTCGAACCAACACCACTCCAACTCTCTGACCTGAAAAACTCTGCTCTAAGACACGTTGCTGCTGCAAACGGCTCCCAAAAGGGCACATGCTAAGTACAGACTAAACACAGGTCGCCTGGGCCTCATTAGTTCCACTCGCACAAGACACTTCGCTCCATTATTAACAAGGGCATAGTTTGTTTGAAGCAAGTGTGGATATAAGGATTGGGTGTCACGGCAAGAGAAAGCACTCCTCTATTATTGAAGAGGGTGGTGGTTTGCAGACACTTGAGATATTAGACTTTTTGTCAAATGAAATACACGCTTTTAAAATCCATATTCAATAGATCAAAGTCTTGGTCAAGCAGAAAAGAGCAGGAGGTCACTAAAATCATTGAGTCATCCCCAGGGGAGCTGGAGTGTTTATAGTGGATTTCCTGACAAAGGACAGGATCAGTGCTTTGTTCTGCTGCTGCTTTCTCAGCTCCATGTTTCCCTTTGTACATTCATGACCTGGCTCATCTTGATTTTCCTGAGCCAATCAATAGCAGAGCTCACAGCAAGTGCATGTTTTAGGGATAACGTTATCAGCTGTGTTTTAATGTGCCCGCTTGCCTCATGTGTTTCAGTGTTGTGTTACTGAGCCCTGCTTGCACTCACTTCCAATCTAGTGAGAAGGGTTGATGACATGTACATGGACATTATGAGCCAGCCAATTTTACTGCATAAAGAAGTTATTGCTATGAAGTTTTCACAGTTAGAATAGGTTTTAGTTCATTCTTTGTCTGAGAATTATTGGCATGGTAGTTGGACTCCATGTGTAGTCTTGCGTGTATCTAGCTGATGAGCCTATCTGGTAGAAAAGAGCAGGGTCATACTCTACGAGTTCTGTGCTACAGGAATTCTGATCTTTCAGCCAAGCTGTTTTTCCCAAACTTGTGATGATGCCATGATGAATCCCAAGTCCCAGCCTGACCTCTGCTTCCCCTTTGTAGTCTCCAAACTCAAAAGGAAATGAAATAGGAAATTTGTTTTATTCCCTTTGCCTCTTTTTGTAAAGTGTCGAGATTATTTATTGCTTGTCCCAGTGTGATTTTTCACACTGACCCCGATCTTTGCTACTTGCCTCCGTTGGTCATTAAGAGTCCCTTGTTTGGGTTTAGTCCCTGTGACCTGCTGTTTGGCTTGGCAGAGGGGGCTTTCTGGATTCACCACTGGGTCTAATGTTCATGCCATGCCACGCTTTCCACGTCCACTCCCTCTGCTCTCTGGAATAATATCATCAAATTCCTTAAACCCTTGTTCAACACTGAGCCCAGACTCTGCAACGTTGCCTCCAATCATGTTTCCATATTAGCTAAGGGCTGATGACACAGGAATTCCTCTTATGTTCCCAAACTCAAAAGAATAGCCTTTGATTAGTTTCCACTGGAGTCTTGGATAATTGGCCAATCATAGTTACCGTCAGTGGTTTATCATCACTCGGCATCAAAACACAGAGGAATCCTAATTTTCAATAAGTGGATAGCTCTGTAATTTGTGCACAGACACTACAGCAGACTGTCACGGAAAAAGTTGTGATCCAAACTGCTCCAAGCTGTTCAGCAGACATGCTCAGAGGGCTTTGCTCAGTGTAGTTTAGTTCTTCTAGTACCTATTGATACTTGTTTCCAATTTTCCCTTTCTTCCAAATGATGTTCAATTTATATTAACCCATTATTGACACAGTATTTCTGTTTCTTGTATTATACCAGTGTTCCTATGCAAAGCACAGCAGCCACAACACCCTCCCCAAATGTATGCACAGTCACACTGAATGGATTAAGTTGTTAAATCTTTTTGCAAGCACATGACAGATGCCATGTTTCTGGGTTATTGCATCATCAGTATAGGATTGCATTCACATTTCAGTGATTAAAAATTGATGGGTGTCAGTGGTTGAAATACCAGCTGCCTCGGAGACAGGTCAGTGATGCACACTGTGGTTTGTTCATCCTAAAGCCAGTTCATCCAGCTCAGTTTTTTATTTCTGCAGGACCTGTGAAGGGCAGAATATCAAATATCGCACATGCAGTAATGTGGTAAGTTTCGTAAAGTCAGTTTTTTGTAATAAAGCTTCCAAGTGGTTTTGAAATTGAGAATTCAGTGTGATAGAAGCGAACTAACGAGGGTACAAGGTTGAGGAGTGAAATGTTGGGATCTCAGGCTTTCTTTTCTGTGTCTCCCTCAGGACTGCCCTCCGGATGCCGGTGATTTCCGTGCTCAGCAGTGTTCAGCTTATGCAGATGTGCACTACCAGGGGCAGTACCACGAGTGGCTGCCTGTGTACAACGACCCAGAGAACCCCTGTGCCCTCAAGTGCAAAGCCAAGGGCTCGGGTGCTGTAGTGGAGCTGGCTCCCAAGGTGCTGGATGGGACTCGCTGTTACACCGAATCCCTGGACATGTGTATCAGTGGAGTCTGCCAGGTAGGAGAAGGACTTGGGACTCTGTTAACATCCCATCTGCTTTGCAAATGAATACCAACTGAGAATAATAGTTGAGTTTAAGCTTTTGAATCACAGGCCATGTATTTTTCCCCAGTTAATTGAATCATGTCCCCTGGCGACGTGTGTGCCCAGACACACAAAGACTATTACTCTCTCTTACCGCAGTTAGACTCCCATTGTGGTTTTGCTTTTATGTTAATAACAGAAATTATGAAAAACTCCATCAGTCAACCAGTGGTTCCAGATTTAATAGTGAACAGTGGGGGACTTTTTTTATTTTTAGAAAAACTCACAGGCAGCTCAAAGGGAGTGTATCTTAATGCAAACAAAGTACGGGACTTTAGTTAATAGTCAATGACACAAGTTCATTTTCTGGGATCATTTTTACTTGTTTCTTTGCAATGTCCAAGCTTTGTTTGTTTGTTTGTTTTCTTTTCTGAAGAAAGTCAGGAAAGAGAGCGTCTGGTATCGTCGCTGCCGTTTACTCTCCCTGTTTGTCACAGATTGTAGGTTGTGATCATGAGCTGGGGAGCACAGCAAAGGAGGACAACTGTGGCATCTGCAGTGGAGATGGCTCATCCTGCCGGCTTGTGCGGGGACACTACAAATCCCAGCATGCTTCAGGAAAAAGTAAAGAATCTTTACTTGAGCAGATTTGGTTTTTCCAATGTAAACACAATTACTTCTTTTATTTAAATGTAACTACACTGATTTTACTTTATGTCTTTGGCCCTCATTAGTCCCACTCGCACAAACACTTCAGCTGATCACAGGCGCTGTAATGACAAATGCACGGACATATGGAATGAGTTCGATGGCAAGACTTATGAGGCTGGTGGCTGGCGAACACTTTGGATATTAGCCTTTTTGTCATTTCTTCTTTATTAAAAAAGGAGAGAGAGACCAGTCTCAACTTGAGATTTAGATTTTGTTTAAATAATCTGAATGTAAATTTGGTAACCTTCACCACAGAACAAGATGAGCAGCCTTGATCAGGAGTGTGTTGCAGAGATGTTTACACATTTTGACAACAGTGGAATGAGAAAACTTTACAATGTAAACCTATATTTAGTCTCAAACTATAAAACGCGGCTCAGGGTGTGCTGACCCAAAATATCCAGTTGGAGAAGAGCTTTTACTGTCGTGGCCAAAGAAGCCCATAAAAGAGAAGTTCCTTCTAAAACTGCTTTTTAAAGTCTGACAGAACAACTTGTCATCTAGGTTGGACTCAGCTTTCAGCCAGGCAGCAACTACTGCACCACTGATCAGGTCAGTGTGGAAGTATCTTAAAGTGCGACGTCACTGACGACTGAAACCTGTTCCAACTGACTCGCATTCAAAAAGTGTCTCTAGAATACACAGTCATGATCATTTTTTCCAAGAGGCATTATGGTCTCATGTTCTCTAGTGCCTTACTTTGGCCTCTTTAATAAGTGTGCCGTTGGTGTTTATGGCCATATAATTCTTTTCTTGAATGACATTATTATTTGTATTAGCATAGTTAGGTATCACTTTCTGTCTGTGCACTCTCACCCCGGAGTTCTGCTGCCTGGCACCATGCTGGTCAGATCCTCTGTTGTCAGACTGTATTTGTGTTACCAGCTGTATTTATATTGATTTAGTCGTGTTTTATATAATTAAGTACTGATTAGGTAGTTCTTCATGCTCTCTCTCCCACTGTCTGTCTCATTCAAGCTGAGGATACAGTCGTCATCATCCCCTATAAGAGTCGTCATGTACGTCTCGTCCTGAAAGGCCCGGATCACTTGTGTAAGTCCTGGTAGGTCCAGGGTGCCCTTCCATCCAACATGATATTTAAAGTTGGCAGTTTTTTTTTATCACCAAATACTGCACTGTAAACTGTATTACCTTCTCATTATTTATGTTGTACTTGCTGAATCTTTCCAATAAACCTTTCTAATCAATTTGGCCTGATAATGGCCAAATATATTATATTATTAAAGACCTCTCTAAGAAGATATAAGGCTTCCAAGCAGAGATCATCGATGGCCAAGTACTGGCATAAAACTGTCCACTGGATCAAATCGATAACAAATGTTCCGTCTCTGTACCGATCCCTCGCTCCAGATAGTTTCTTGAGCAGGGCCAAGATCTCTTGTTTTTCTGGATGGACACATTTTTCACTTTCTTTTTGACCAAGGGCACTTAAATTGTAACCATCTGTCTGCAGACGCCGGCTGCTGCCGGTTAGTACTTGTTTCCCTGTTGCTTTTGTTTAAATGCCCATGCTGGAACCACACGAGACCTTGTTAGGCCGAGGGTGAAGTCAGGGCAAACAGTGGAAAAGCTCAGCGTGGTGTTGGCGAGCCACAGTGAGCCTCTCTGCCTCCAAATGCAACAGCCACTCTGTGTGTAACCAGATCAGACTGAAGGCCAGAGATAAATAGGAGTCATTCTTTGAATATCTTGACATTTTATTTACATCTTGTTTTGTTTACGGCTGAAACATGAAATGATTATTATGATAAATTCGGTGGAGATTCCTCATCCCGGCTATGACGTGTGCATTGTGCTTTAGTGCTCTGCTCTGTGCCCTCTTTAGATGTGGAGAGTAAGACCCTGCAAGGGGCGAAGGACGAGCTGGTCTTAGACACATCAGGCCAGTACCACCTGGAGAACACCACCTTGGACTACCAGAAACTTTCTGATAAGGAGGTCCTGAGAATCACTGGCCCACTCGGAGCTGACTTCACTGTTAAAGTAGGAGTCCAAGTGACTTAAAGCTGCACATTATACATGGCTCAGTTTAATATGTGTAGGGTGAAACAAGTTTTTCAAAGTGGCAAACCCACTGAAATATCACCCAACTCTTCAGGTTCCCTCACCTCTATGTAACATTTCATTTTAGCGTCTTTCAGCTGTTGGTTTTACAGCCTACGACTTGTATCGTTTGGTTTGCCAGCATTGGCAGTTGTTTTCAGCCAAAAAGCTCTGATAAACCTGTTACACATTCCCTGCCCAGCACCAAACATCCTTCACTCAAAGCTAGCAACTAGCTAGTGAACATGGAGTATTTGGTATCTAAAGAGGACTGGGTGCACAAACCTTTCTTACCAGGTAGCGCCAACCAGTGGCCTTCAGACCAGCTCTAAAGGCTTTGCTTCCAGACGACCCCAGCCGGTTTCCCCTCTACTGAGCAGCTGACATCACGGGGATGTTTCTGTTGTCTTTTCTGCAGTTTAACGCAGAACTGTGGTTTTAGCTATGCAAAGCTCAGAAAAAAAAGAGCATGTCCCAGCCAAACTGGCCTCTGATCAGGTTCTTATTTCCATTAACTCCTGGTGAACTCTTTGTATCGTGCAGAGTTCAAAGCAGATTTGATTTTGTATGTTTAGTTTTACAGATATCAGAGCAAATCCTTGCCTGCTGTCTCTGAGGGACAACACGTTTCTGAAGCAGTGTGTCATACACACATTACAATAACAGCACATACATTTGTAGCTCCAAATCTAGTGGTGTATATTAGTATATACTAAACAATTTCCATGTTTTTGGCTGAGACAGTAATTGTACTGTATGGTGTAAATGTAAACATCTGATAAAAGTTGTATTTGATTTATGGGGGAGTCTTAAGCTTTGAAAGAAGAATTATCTTGTGTCTGGTTATCACATGTCAAATTCTTACCTACGTATTTTAACATAACACAGAGCAGCAGAGGATTTTTTTAAAGAATGACACACACATTCTCAGACCCATGAGTGGACAATAAAAATTATACAGACCGTGGACGAGGAAAGGCCTGTGAAAACTTCCCCTCTCATAAAACAAGCCTCACAATAAATAACAATTGAGGAGACAGAAATCCAAGAAGCTGTAAATGCATCATTTTCTAGTCTGTTACAAGGCACGTGGCCAGTTCCTATCACCGCTCTGGAAGAAATCTGGACAAGAGGATAATCATATTAAGAAGCTGCCAGACAGTCTTTCCACTGTAAACACATGAATGTGAATGAGTGGCAGTGGAGTTTGAGTTACGTGCCTTGTACATACAATATGTCCTTGGGCATTTCTTTAGTATGTTTGAGGCCTGAAGGTACAAGAACAATGTGAAATCCCTACAATGTTTGCGTGTGAAAACGTATCTAAACACATTCCAGTATGTTTCAGTCATGTGTTGGCACTGTCAGCAAACAAATTTACTATATTTTCATTTTTGTCAGCCTTTTCCCACCAGTCTCAGATCTTCAAGCAGTGCCAAGGGAGAGATCTAGGAATATCCAGCCACAGGTTTTGTCAGCCAAAAGAGGAGAGCGAAAAAGACTAGCTGTCAATCAAACACAGAACCATGCAAAGCTATCTGAATGTGGATGAAATGAGGACATGGCCTGTTACTAATTAGGGGAAAGCTTCAAGTTGTCTTGACTGATTTGAGCTTATAAGACTGTTCTTACTGAGAACATGTGTCCATGGTTTGAACCCGTGTTAGCCTATTTGTTATTATTATTATTTTTAAATAATGTGCTGGATGTTCAGGTGCAGTTCGCCAGTGGAGCAGACAGCGTGGTCCAGTACATCTACTACCAGCCCATCATCCACCGCTGGAGAGAGACCGACTTCTTCCCTTGCTCTGTCACATGTGGTGGAGGTGAGCAAGTAGTTGTACTGCTGTTGATAGTAACTGACTGAAAACTGTGATGCCAACAGCTTCTTCACTTTATCTTGTTTGTAGGTTACCAGCTGACCTCAGCAGAGTGCTTTGACCTGCGGAGCGGTCGGGTGGTTGTGGACCAGTATTGTCATTATTACCCAGAGAATGTCAAACCTAAGCCCAAACTGCAGGAGTGCAACCTGGAGCCCTGTCTGGCCAGGTAACTCAGACATCAGCAGCATGTCATTGATCTGTCTGCAGCAGATTGTGTAACCCTAATGTCCTGTGATTCTGCCTTTTAGTGACGGCTACAAACAAATTATGCCATATGACCTCTACCACCCCCTTCCTCGGTATGTGCTCGACCACTGCGAGACAAAATGGTGACACACAACACATTGGCTTCATGACTTGTAACCTTTTTACAATGCCAGATGGGAGAGCAGTCCCTGGACGGCCTGCTCCATCTCCTGTGGCAGGGGCATCCAGAGTCGCTCCGTGTCCTGTGTGGAGGAAGACATGCATGGAAACATCACTCCCACCGAGGAGTGGAAGTGTCTGTATGCTCCCAAGACAGCCATCCTGCAGCCCTGCAACACCTTCGACTGCCCCACCTGGCTTGCACAGGAGTGGTCACCAGTAGGTGCCCCTAACATTTATCTTAAATGGTTTGTACTGGATATAAAGACTTGTTGTTCTTTTGTGAGGTGCTGGAAAGCATCACAAAATTAGGACTGTTGAGAAAGTTGAGCTAAAATGTCTAGTAACCAAATATAAATAGATGTTTCATTGTGCTCTGTAGCTGAATGTCAAATATTAGCAAAAGGCTCGTTTGTCTTTGTGGTCTGCACGTCACCACAGCGGGTCTTAATTAACCCATGAAGTTAGAAGAGGGTAAAAAAAACATGGTTATGGTGGAAACAAAAATACCCTTGGTCTGACCTGAGATGCTGTCACCTCTTCAGACATCACGCGGCTTTATGAATGTGATAGGAACACTTACAAATTAAAACAGAATCTCGCTATGTGATTAAAAGAGGCACTGCTGGTCTCAGTGTCATTGTCTTTCACCACCCCTGATTTTGAACACATCTGAAACATTTAAAGTTTTAATTAAAACTCTAAAGTCTCTGTGCTGTTTATGTGTCAGGAAGGTGCATTTAGATCCATGTAACAACTCGCTTGTTTGGCAGACGTGCCGTCACATTAACCATAAATGTCCTGTATAACTTCCTCTCAGGTTCCTCCTGAGTCCCGGGGAGCCAGATTTGTAGCCTTTAAAAAACCTGGCTTGCTGTTTACCTAGCACATTCTTCCTTTTGCCTATAAATGCTTGTTTTGGCAGATGACAGACAAAGTGCACTCCTGAGCAGAGAGCTGCAGGGATTTTAGAAGGCCTGTCTTTTCTAATATCCTTTGAGTCAAAAGCTAAGAAGTTCTGTCAAACACAAAGAGATGTGGTCACAGGAGCAGGGCTCAACATGTCACCCCCTCTGTCTGTGAACGCTGCTATCAGTCGCTTATTAATGCTCCTGTTACAACCAGTGCACGGTGACCTGCGGTCAGGGGCTGCGCTACAGGGTGGTGTTATGCATCGATCACAGGGGACTGCACGCTGGAGGCTGCAACCCCACCACCAAACCCTACATCAAGGAGGAGTGTCTGGTGAGTGTGCCCTGCTACAAGCCCATAGGTGAGTTTTCAGTCATGTGTAATAACCAAACTGATTTCTAAAACAAAGTAGTATTTTTCTTTCGATGTTAAACCTCCGTGTCTTCTGGGTGATTTGCTCTAGATACACTCCCAGTAGAGGCGAAATCTGTGTGGCATAAGCAGGCCATAGAGCTGGAGGATGAAGTCACAGTGACGGAGGAACCGACGTGAGTGCCACTCACGCACACAACTACACTAACACAAGCATGCTCAGAAAGAAAAGATTTTTGGCAGACCTGCATGTCGACTGCTTCTCTTTCTGGAAATCTCAGTAGAGTTCGCCTGAATCCTAACACACCTGTCACCCAGATCACATAGCCTGTTTGGAGGTGCAATTTACTGCCTGAGGTGAATATTCTGTTCTGTCTGATGACAAGTGTTGCGTTGAATTAGTTGGGAAGATGAAATTCCTAAAGCTTTAAATGACTCTCAGGGTTCAAAAACTGGAAAAATCAAGGGGACTTTACTCTGTAAAAGAATTAGTGTGTGAACTCAGCAGGGGTGAAGAAGCAAACGTCAGCTCCCAGTTTTCATCATGCAGAACTTAAGATTTACCTAAAGGTGAAATTGAAGTAGACAGATCTCGGTGCTGCCAAGAAAACCACCACTGGATTGTGGCTGCGTTCATGTCAACTGCCAGGTTTGTTCAATTGGCTTCAAAAAGTGCAGCTCTAGTCCCGTCTTTTTTTCTAACACTATTTAAAGTATGGACATGTTTAAGTCTCTTCTCACAGCTATGCATACCAAGCGATCGTTAGACATCATGGCAGAACAGCTGTGTCGAGGCAAATTCACCCATGCTTTTGAAGCGTAATGTTGCGATGCTTCCTTGGAGGTGTGTATTGTCAGAGCTAAGGAATAAATATGCTGAATGAGGTTATTTAAGGTAAAAGAGGAAAGTGAACGTGAAAGAGAGAAACAGCAGATGGTTGACCTGCTGGCTACCAGTATGACCTCAGCAAGCCCTCAGATGTTCCAGATGTTCCCGTCTCATGTATCTGTTGACTAATAAAGGCTGAATTCTGAAGATGGACGATGCTTGGACTCGACCCAGCGTCTTGCATGACTTGCATTAGCGTCCATGTTAGCCATTTCAAAACATCTGTTACTTTTACTTATCATTACAGGGAGAGAAAAGGAGAGGGCTGCCAAAACATATGATTTCGCTCCACTGCAAAAAAAAGTCTTTCCTCCAAAAGCACATCAATATGTGTATAATATGCAGAACCCAAGCCAACAACAACATCTGCCAGGTTACGGATGTGAGAAAGAAATTCCTGTGTTAGACTTACTGCACCTACATTGCCAGGACCTTGTGCCTGCCCAAAGCCACTGCTGTGCAACCGCTTGAAAAATTAAATCCATATATGTTCTACAACATAGCCAGAGTATTTTCACCTTACCCCCACCATGAATAAATAAAATAGTTCCACCGATGGATGTTTAATTGATAGGATTAGAGGATAGGGCTTTGGCAGATAGCAGAAAAATGTGTTGTTTCCCTCCATGAATGAAATCAAGATTGTTTTTGAACCAACAGATGGACTTTAACTGTGCATGAAGACAAATATTTCTGTGGGTTCACTTGGTGAATTTGTTCTTTCTGTTCCGAGATCTAACTGCTGGTGGTTGTTTGTCCAAAACACAATCAGTCCTTGAGTTCTCGTAAAGATCCGATTGTGCTGTAATTATATTGAATCCTCTAAACCTGCGGGGTTTAACCTCTCATGTTGTGGTGTGGTCAGACTGCCCCATCAAAGAAGAAGGGAGCCATGTAGAAAGTGGCTCTGGTACATTGTATAATTGACTGGCATTAGAAAACAGTACTTAAACTAATCATATTCCAGTTGTGGATGAGATGTATACATAGAAGAAAAGACCAGAGATTCATTTATACAGTCTACACACAAAAACACTGACCACTAAAAAGTCAAGTGAGCTACAGATGCACATATAAAACA